GAAACGTTTCATTAGAGAAGAACCCGTCCAGAGGACCTATACAATTTTTTTCTTTTAGATTTTTTACCTGGATTACTGAGATGCATCAGGACATGTAGTTGAGTAGATTTGACCCTGAGTATCAATACTTTTACTCAAGTGCTAGAGTTGAGTACTTTGTCCACCCCTGCAAAGGAAACACTGGTAATTCATGAAAACAGCCTCTAAACACATATTTCCTTCATTTCCTCCTCAATAAGGCATTACTTCCCTCCACTTAAATGCAGGTCTAAATTATTCATGCAAGTCCTCATCAATCCTGGCCCTGCTGCCTTCAGAACAGAGAGGAGCTTCATGTAAAGTGCTGTTTGCTCCTGACTGGATTCGTCTCTGATTACATGCACKTAGACATGAAGGCTTTTACAAAACCTAAAGAAGAAAATGCTGCAGATGATGACATAAACAAACTGACCTATAATCAGAAAACAGACAACATGTAAAACCCTGTCTGTCTTTCAGGAAAGCAGCGGTTAAATAAATAAATACACTTTGGTTTATTTTCTTTATGTGACGACTCATGGTGATTCTTTGCTTGCTGTTTAAGTATCATTACATCATAGAGTGTGAGTGAGTAGGCAGGTCTTAAAGCACAACATCATTAGTGCACAGGCTCTGGTTCCAAAAACACAACATCTGTGAAACAGTCCCTGCTGGCTTCAGTTTGCACCAGCAGGAGATGGTGCTCAGTTATAAAGTCTGTTTTAGAGATGTGATGTTCACGAACGATCTGAATCCTTTGAACGACTCCTTACAAAGAACAATAAGAATTGAGTTGCAGACATTAAAAAGTCATGTTTTACTTTACGCACAGTAAAAAAAAACAGTGTCTTTTTAACATCTATAGAGCTGAATTTAACTCGTGTCATATAATATTTGGTCCCATGTAAAATGTACTCTATAGCCAATGTTAAATTCTCAGAGTTTATTTGACTCATTTTAGTGTCAAAATCAACGACTAAAATTATTTAACACTACAGTTTGTTTACACTCTGGGGTGACTTTATCAAAYTGACAATAAAGTAAATGGAGTTATGCTTGAATGTAAGATTTATTCAGTCCAGTCTGAATTAATATTACCTACTAAGTATAAGGCAGGTCTGCTCTTCTCGCTCATCTTCCTTCAACAGGAAACTGTCGATGCTGTGTTGGTCTGTGCAGTTTTTTTTTTTTTAATTATTTTGCTGTTCATTTCTTCCCCACCGATTCCCATCTTGGATGATGTAAAAAGCATTGCTGCAGGAACGTCCACCCAAGATGTGGTGTGAAAATAACAGCAATGCATTATAGCTGCTGGAAATATATATATTTTTTATTAAAAGATATAAAGCTTTTCAATCAAGCTTTAAGAAATATCAGTTTTTAATCTGCACATGCAGATTTCATAAGATTTTGTGTATTTAAACAGTCAAAAATATTGTTTAGTAATAATAATGCAGATTTATTTAACTAAAGTTAAAATCTCAGTGATTAGGTTCTCTTCGGCCAAATTTCATGTGTCATGTGTTATTGTTAGACCATTTCAGAGGGACGTTTTCTGGTAAGTGGAGCTCACCTCATCTGAAAACAGCAGAGGTCTATAAAGTACTTGAAAAAATGATTAAGTAAAAGTAAAAACACTTAAACAGAAAATGATTTTGGTAAAAATTAATTCCACTGATGAGAAATGTATTTAAGTCATAAAACTGTTCAGGAAAAAGTAAAGTACTTTTACACACCGTCTAAGAAATAAACTGTTGAATTTACTGAACAAACTGGTTCCACTAAACCAGGTTGAGTAAACTGAGCAATATATAGATTTCCTTTTAAAAATAATTATGCATATTGCTTCATCTTTGGTTGAGTAAATTCAACATTTAATTTTTTTAAGTGCATAAACAACTTCTTTCATGATGAGTTCAAATATAATTAATTTTGTAAAAAAGTAACTAAGTGTTAAAATTTAAAGAAGTAAAAGTGTCATTTTTATGTTTTAAATGTAATGAAATTAAAGTTAAATAACACTTAAATTGTAAAATTACAAATCCTCAAATGTAAATGAACTGAATGCACTTAATTACTATAAACCTCTGGAAAACATATCAACTTTCTAAAATGAAATAAATTAAGTATTTAACATACTAAATTAAACTGCATCTCAGTATTTTTCTGCTGACAAACCTACAGAAATGAACTTACCAAGTAAACTATATTTATGCAAATATCTGCAATTCTTCTTTTTAGCAAGTGCAAAAACATCCTCAGTCGTGCACTATAACTTTATATATTTTTAGTAGGGAGCTGTTAAAAGAGTCCTTAAAGATCCATGCAAACATTTAGTTTCCCAGCTGAATACCTTGGTCCTTTTCTCTCAAACAGAATTCTAAATGCCGGACTTCCCTGTGTTTTAGAGAGAATCTGAAGAAAGAAAATCCACACTTTAAAAAAGAAGAAAATTCCAGATGAAGCCAATCCTCACTTTTAATCCCCTTCACCAAGAAAGGCATGTCACATAGCGATGTCCATATCAGATCGATTTATTGTTAACAATCACTGTTTTGGTATAGCGTACTTTAGCGAATGGAGTAAAGAAAACACAGATTAAAAGGTCTAGGTAACAATAGCAAGAGAAAGAAATAAATAGAAAATAATCGGATTAAAGGTCTAATAATTCCATGTTCATATGAATACATAACATCTACAGTATAAGTTAATAAATTGAAGCTACTGTATAAATACATCACCAGCATGCACAATATTGTATTATGGAGATAATTGGAGCAGTTATCATCGTACACTGAGACAGTATAGAAGGCAAGTGCATTTTCTTGACTGAGAAGAAACAGAAAACAAAAGTCACGAACCTCAGAAATCTGCTCGCACAGCGTCCACTTCAACAATTCAAGTGCTTTGTTCACAAATTCTCACCCAGGTTTCACAGATCCCTCTGATCGGTAGCGTTTTTCAGTGTTCTTTAAGATTAAATTTGCTTATATGGAATCAAACTGTTCCCCACAAACATACAAAGCCAATAGATGTTACAGTAAAGACGATATTGACGATAAGAATTAGGTGTCCAAAAACAGTTAATTTATTTAAGAAAGCACATCAGCACATGAGGGGGACGAGCTGCACTAAGTTTACTGTGAGTTTGCAGTTTAAATTACAGTGTGACTGTCCGACACATACCTGACACAAAGCAAACAAATACTTTTTTTTTTAATCGTCAACCGCAGACACAACCTGCTCACTCAGCGATCGTGGGTGCGGCGCAACCTAAAGATGTCTGTATGTTCGAAGTCATGCAGCGACACCCCTCCCCCCACCCACGAGCTCGTCGTCATCTTCACTTTCAGTCTCGCTAAGCGAGGCCTCGACGTTCAAGGTTATTTTGCTGGCCGATCGAGCATCGAAACAGAATTTCTGAACGCTCCGCCTCTCGCTGAATACGTCTAGACAGCTCCGCCTCATTTACGCCACGAGAGCAGTCTGCCTGTTGTGAAAGCACCGCATCCCTAACAATCGAACCATGATGAGTGACATATGCCTTACTTCTAAAGTCGAGTTTTGGCAAACGCTGCAGAGGCCATCAAGGAGGGGGTTTCATTCCAGTGTTTTTTTTTTTTTTTTYTTTTTTTTTTTTTAGTCATAGCTTATTTCTCAAATAAACATGTCTTCCCTTCTACCTTTGTTTTCACTTTTAATCTGTGGAAAAATAAAGAGCAGCCGCATCGGTACCATTGGCTAAAGTGGACGCCGATGTTCCACCCCCCGCCCAACCCTCCCTTTTTTATTTTATTTAATTTTATTTTTTAAATTAAGAACTTTTTAAACAATTATTATTTTTTGTTGTCATTTGTGAGCGCGCGTGTCGTGTTTTGTTTTGGCAAAAAAACAAAAACAAAATGGAGGTGTCCGACTCTTTTAGTTGTTGCCCTCGCCTCCCTCGTCGTCCTGCTGGTCGCTCGTCCACAGCGTCAAGTTGTCTCGTAGCAGCTGCATGATGAGAGTGGAGTCTTTGTAGGAGTCCTCGTTGAGGGTGTCCAGCTCGGCAATGGCGTCGTCGAAGGCGGTCTTTGCCAGGTGGCACGCCTGCTCGGGGGCGTTCTGGATCTCGTAGTAGAAGACGGAGTAGTTGAGAGCCAGGCCCAGGCGGATGGGGTGGGTGGGCTGCATGTGCTCCTTGCTGATCTCGTGGGCCTCGCTGTACGACTTCTCAGAGGACTCCACCACGGAAGCCCTCTTCTCCCCCGTGGCCACCTCGGCCAGGTAGCGGTAGTAGTCGCCCTTCATCTTCAGGTAGAACACCTTGCTCTCGTGCTGCGTCTCGTTACAATTCTTGATGAGGAAGTTGTCGAGGAGGTTGAGCACGTCCTGGCAGACGGCCTCCAGCTCCTTCTCGATCTTTTCCCGGTACGCTCGCACCATCTCGATCTTCTTCTCGTTGCCGTCGGCCGAAGTCTTCTGCTCGATGCTGGAGATGACCCGCCAGGACGAGCGCCTCGCCCCGACCACATTCTTGTAGGCCACGGAGAGGAGGTTCCTCTCCTCGTTGGACAGTGCTTCGTTCAGCTCTGTGACCTGCAAAAGATGAAAGTGAACAAACATGCAGCTGTTAAACTTTTCCATCATACGTGGAGAACTGTAAAATATTTACCAGCTGTGCTGCCAAGTTTGACAATTTAAAAAATGTGCATGTCTCCAGCATTGTAAAAMCAAAGTCAGTCATTTAATTTTAGATTTTTCTAATCAGGACATTAAAATAATTTGGTAAAGACATCAACATTGRCCATGAAGAAGCAATTGTTGCTGCCCATCCAGCTGGGAAGGGTTCAAGGTTTTTCCAAACAATTTTGACTTCATTTTACAGAGAGCATCATTCACAACTGGAAAACACAACTAGGGCTGGGTGATATGGCTGAAAAACTTATCACCATGAGCATTTCATTCAATTCAAAAATACTTTGATCCCAGAGGGAAATTAGGTGTTGTTGTAACTCATTTAACTACAGRGTTATTGTAGATTGTAGATCATATTGGTCATTTCAATAATTATTGATTAGTTTTAGTTTTTAAGCAGTTCCGAGGCACGGTGGAGAAACATGAAACCGCAAATCAACAGGTTTTTTTTTGCTAGCTAACCTTGTTTAGCTGCAGGCATCAAACTGACTCCCTCTTCAGTTTTTAGATGCCTCATTTTAGTGTAACAGCATCTTAAATCAATACTGTATTTATTCATGTATAATACAATCTTGAGTATAATACAATCATCATTTTTTGAGCTTAAAAAGCATTAAAAATCTAATTATTAATAACCTGTGTATAATACTACCCCCACTTTATGGATGATTTTTAGGGTTAAATTTCTAGTATTATACATGAATAAATATAGTAATTATTTCATATTAACCCTACAATTGTGGCTGATCCAGCAAGCTAACACTCTATAGCTTGAATGAGTCGACAAGAGAAAGAAACCCTGGTTTACACATTTCAAAATAAAGGGTGACCATTTTTTAGGGGGCATTTGTCATCTATTAACAGCTTTAAGCTTTTATTTTGAAAGTGAATCTTAGCTTTCCTAGTGTTGTTTAGATAAAAACTCCTAGCTTATTTCTTCAGAAAGTTATCAACTTTTAGCAAATAATAACCATTGAAATTATCAATATTATATCAGACGTGTTTTCTATTGATATTAAAAGTGTTTATCATGATATATAATATTAAATTTTCACCCAGTCCTAGTCTCAACAAACCCCAACATCAGACCATGCAGTGCTAAGAAAGATGACCAAAAAGTAAAAAAACAGACCTTACAGGCTTCTGTTAGAAGGTGAACAGTTAAATTTCATGACAGGATGATTAGGAAAAGACTGAACAAGTGTGGTTTGTTCAAAAGAGTTGCAGAGCTGTAAAAAGACACTGCAGCATGACTTGGAATGGCAACATTGCCTCTGAATGAACTGCAGATGAGACCAAAGTACAGATGTTTGGCTGTACGCGCGGCGCCATCTGTGGCGAAAACAAATCATTTCAGGATCAGTCCAAACACCTCTAACCAACCGTCGAGTCAACCATAAACTCCCCTGTGCAGCCTGTAATTCCACAATAATCCCAAACGGCAAAAAAATCTTTCWGTTCCTCCCTGACTCTAAGTCTTCTGGAGGATGTGAATAAAACAATCAMAAACGGGTCAAACGCAGCTCTAGTCAAACTCAACTACACACAAGACAACAGTCAGTCCCTGTATTTAWAGAAGCCCCACCTCAGGGACACTGACACCACCCTCTGAGGTGACCTCTGATTGGCTGTCTGCAGCTCGAAAAGCTGGCTTTTGTTTGACAGGCCTGCCCGCTGAGGGAGTTCATTCTTTCTACCCCACTGGGACAACACAGCAGGGGTGTCTTTACACACCGATTTGGAGAAAAAAGTCTGTTGTTACAGTCTCTTTTTAAGCACAAAATTTAGTTAATATTGTGTTTTCTGCACTAAAAATATTAACAGCTTGTAAACAACTATCTGTATAACCAAGAAAATGTTTGCTAACTAGCACTAAACCCAGAGTACAGACAGAGGTTTGAGGATTTCGTCCACTTTAAGTTCACTTAAAAAAATTTACATTTATGCAATTAAAACAATCGTAACTAAAGGGAAAACAATATCTGTGAAAAATGTTCCAATATATCATTCCAATGGGGAAAGGGTCAGATAAAAAACCCTAATGGCGGTACGTACTTTGATGTGACTTTATTCACTTAAAAGTTACAAATCACAGGATATATGAAGATCCTCATTGGCTGCTGGCATTTGATCAATATTAATAAATAAATCAGAATTTAATCTTTTGGAGTCCATGATTACTAATAAAAGACAGACCGCAGCTGTCCAGTTTTACTTTGAATCCGTCTCTATTGATGCAAACAAATAAAACTCTGATGTGTGTTCTCAGCATATAACCTACATCTACACCCATCTAAATCTGCAACTCTCTGCACTTTGTGATTCATAAAGTAGCCATCGTTCTGGCTTATGCATAAATTGTAAAAGGAGGAGTGGTGGGCAAAGAGCACGCTATGATGCAATCTGCAGTTTCCACAGCAACTGCAAAATCTGCTTTGTTTGTTAGAGCCTCCATCTCTGGAGGTACCGGCTGAAAGCTGCTCAKAGTAACAACACGGCTCATGATGTGGAAGGTGAAAATCAATGAAAACAGCAAAACCAGTGTCGACCCCCCCCCTTCATTTCTGATCTGCAGAAATTAATTAATTAAATAAATAAATAAATAAATAACCTGAAGAGGATTTGAGTCTGCCTTCAGATTTGGAAACTGCTACAAAAAACTGGATTGTTGTTTGTGTGACCAAGAGTATCATGATGCGTCTCTCTGGTGTTTATTTGGTTCCTTGGGTTTGTCTTCGTAAGGTTTGAGTTCTGATTCTGATCAGTCTTTTGTTTGTGATCCCACTGTGTCTTTTAGTTTCTCCTGTCATTCTCTGCTCYGGCCACGCCCACTCTCACCTGATCCTTGTTGTCTCCAGGTGCTTTGTACTTCCCTCTATATTTTCAGCTTTAGTTTCCTGTCCTGTGTTTTCAAACAACTCACTGTTTTGCTGCCTAACCTCCTCGTTGTATCTGCCATGCCAGCCAGTGTCTTTGACTGATTAAAGTCTTTTTTATTTTATGACAGAGTTGCACGCTCTCTGCTTGCACCCTGGGATGATATCCTTACTTCAAACACGATAAAGAGTAGCATTCATTTTGGTTTACAAACTAATTTTKCATTTAGAATGAGTCCAATGGATTTTGACCCACCCATCCAGGAAACTTTGAGATGCCATAAAATTTTATTTCTTGTAACTGAATGGCTAGGACTGACTTAGTTCATGATCACAGTTTGTGCTAAACTCTGACACTCAAAAGGTGGTATTTCCAAGTAAAGTGCTGAGGCTGCATTTGAGCTAGCTAATGTTAGCATTTCACTCAAAACACCACTTTACCTCAAAAYGGCCTCACACAATTATTATTATGGACAATAATGTGAAGATTACCTGATTTGTACAGATGAACAGATGCACATGTGCCCGATCCAACTGTTTAGGTAGAGCAGCTGTGTACTGATGTATTTTTTGGGATTAAATCTAGATGCATCGTTCTGCATGAACCAAAATGATTCTCTTAACTTAATCAGTACACAGTTGCTTTAACCAGCCATTCACACTGYAATGTGTCTGTTCTTGAATTGAACATGCACACTGATTAGGTCACTTGATGAAAAGCTTAGAAGCAGGTTTGTTTCTACAGACAGCCATTTTACAAATGTCAGAAAAGTTCACAAAGTTACAGTTCGTAATTCTGCTGAGCAACAGAACTGTTTTCTCATTAGTACCACTTAGTAGTTATGTTTACTTGGACATAGTAATCAGAATAAACAGATAATTGGAATAAAAAGGTGTCATGTATATTTCCCAGTCAGAATATTGTTCTTTCCTGTCCCTCAACCAGCCGGTCGAGGCAGATGGCCGCCTGTCCTGAGCCTGGTTCTGCTGGAGGTTTCTTCCTGATTAGCAGGGAGTTTTTCCTCTCCACCGTTTGCTCAGGATGGGAGACTGTGATGAAGTGATTCAACASAGCCTGATGGTTTCTTCTTTAGATTATTTTTTTATGTACAGTGCCCTGAGACAACGTACTGTATGTTGTRACTTRGCGCTATTTTTAATAAACTTGAACTTGAATMTTCTGATCTGATTCAGCTCACTTGGAATGAATTTGTAACTTGACAAAGGTGGTTTATGCCAATTGATAATCCGAACAGCGTGCATTTAAACACTTAGTCTGGTTGTGGAAAAATGACCTGACTGTGCGCCCTATGTCAACCTGACTTATTTCCATTTGGCTAGAAGCCATTATGTCAGRAAGCAAAATTGGTCAGCGATACATTTCTATTAGAAACTTCGAAAGACCTCAAAATTATCAAAGGCCTTGATGGTTGAAAGTGTAAGAACACAGAGTTATTTAAACAGTAACGCCTCCAACGTTATTAAATCCTGGAGCGGTTCCATTCTGGGTGCTCAGAAGACACAGATTGTTTATGTTCATCACAGAAGTAGAATTTCATTCTTCTTTTAGGGAACGTTTACAACTCTGCGCATGTCAGATCACTTTGTTGTACTGTACTGAACCTTCATGAATTGAGTCAAACTTGTGCCGAACCAATACTGTATTGTGTCAGCCACAGACACACAATCCTAATATACACAGACTATTGATCAATGCATGTAGATGCTCATAGTTATAGGATCAACTTTTTATTTCCCCCTTTTAGCTGCGCCCATTTTCATAGAATGCCATTCCTCTGTACTTTTTTTCTGGTTTAAACAAAAATAAAAAACATGCGTTTGATGAGGATCAATGGCTGCACACAAACCATCCTCTGTAGAATGAGAATCAGTAGGGGTCCTAAGATTTGATGTGATTGTGACTCAGCCGTGATAAAATAATAAGATGTTTTAAACCTGTGTAATTATTTTAAAAAGGCAACCTACTTTTTTATTAAAACCAATGAACGAAATTGTGACAAATGG